AATAATTCTAGGTGTAATATACCGCTCCGGCTTGTTCATGATAGAGGGAGACTTTTTTGGGGACGAAATGTTGGGGTTTTTGGGCACGTAACATGCATAGAGGGGACTTTAATTTATCAAATGGCTGGTTTCTTTGACAGGTATCTAGAGCCCGTGACTTTAGGGGAAACGTTCAGGACTGTTTTTTTAAAAACGAGCGTAACTGAGCCTCCAGGGGTAATAATTTGTAGACTGTCTTGTAAAATAAGGAAACTTTCGTGAATAATCTGGAGATAAAACCGAAGAGCTTGGCGAAGTGATCACAAAATCCTCACTTTTTAGCATTAATTTTGGGAATGCAAGAATAATGATAATACAGTAAAAATCCCTGATTTTCGTTCTGCCGATTAAATGGCTTAGGGAACATTTGTCTAAAACTTGTTTTGGGGTTTACTAGCTAAGATTTTTTTACGTAATAACTTAAAATATAAAGGGGTTGCTTTTATGATTGTTTTCTTAAAAGTACACAGTGCCCAGAGTATATACACCCCCAAAAGAGAAATTGGGGTTATACTAACGACCCCCAAAGGGGTTTAACAGGAGGCAAAAGCATTATTAGGGGAGAAAAGGGGAATTTATAGGGCTTCGAAGAGGAGAGGTTAACCCTTACTGACCAATATGTCAGTTTAAAAAGAGAAGTAAAAAAGGCGATTAGAAAGGAAAAACGTAAACTATGAAATTGAGTTGCTAATGAACAAAGACAATCCAAAGGGGGTTCTTTCAAGTGTATAGGACGAAGGTGAAGGAAAAAGTAGGACCTCTGAAATCGGGAATGGACAGCTGAGGATAATAAAACGGGAAATGTTTTCCCTTATTTAAAAATTTTTTTTGTCAGTTTTTACACAGGAAATGTAAATGAGTTCCAGTTTTTAACTTTATTTAGTTCTGATAATTTAATTAACTAATATTACTGTCACGGGGGAAGGTTATTAAAAAAGATAACAAACTGAAACAAATAAGCCCCCGGGACCGATGATTTGTTTTCAAGGGTTTAAGGAATGCAAGAGGGAGTTGTATAAAGTTGGTAGAATTTCCCACAATTGTAAAATAAAAAAGGGCACAAGTGCAATAATGTGACATTTATTTGGCAACGTTTCGTCTCCGGAGCTTTTTCAAGCCATTACGCTTGTAAAGCTCCTGGGGAGCGAACGTTCCACAATAAAAGTCAATTAGTTGCATTGTGCCTTTTACTTTACAAGATGGGCTTATAGCCCTTAACGATGTATTCAATGCGTCCATCCTTACCCGGTTTTGCAGAGTTGTGGAAGTGACTAAGGGTTCCTATATTCAAAAACAGGGGATAAGTCCCCCCTTCAAATTTCCGTCCAATAAGCCCGACATCATATGGGCAAGTTATTAGAATAATTATAGCTGAATTATCAGAAGTCCCTTGAAAAGCATAAATTGATAAATGAATCTCAGCATGGACACGAAGGTCGTTCCCGCCTGACAAACTTACTGACGTTCTTCAATAGAACATTTGAGGCAGTTGACAGTGATAAGGAATATGATATTGTTTATTTGGATTTTAGTAAAGCCTTCGACAGAGTACCTCACAAGAGACTCTTAAGAAAAGTGGCAGCTCATGGTATAGGAGGTAAAGTTCTAGCATGGATTGAGGCATGGCTTACCAATAGAAAGCAGAGAGTTACCATTAATGGAGTGAAATCTGAATGGGGATTAGTCACTAGTGGCGTTCCACAAGGATCAGTTTTAGGCCCTCTCCTGTTCATAATTTACATTAATGACCTTGATGAAGGGATTACTAGTGACATGAGTAAGTTTGCTGATGATACAAAGATAGGCCGTATAATTCACTCTGAGGAGGATATCAATGAACTCCAGGACGATTTGAACAAATTAATGTCTTGGTCTGAAAAATGGCAGATGAAGTTTAATGTGGATAAGTGTAAGGTACTTGCCCTTGGTAATGAAAGTAACCCTCGAAGCTATAATCTAGGTGAAGTAGAGCTTGGTCATACAGAATGTGAAAAAGACTTGGGAGTCATGGTGAGCAGAAATCTAAAGCCAAGACAGCAGTGCTTTAGTGTGCGCAACAAGGCCAACAGATTACTTGGATTTATCTCAAGAAGTATAAGTAACAGAAGTCCAAAAGTTATTTTACAGCTCTATACATCACTAGTGAGGCCTCATTTAGATTATGCTGCTCAGTTTTGGTCCCCTTACTACAGGATGGACATAGACTCATTAGAGAACATACAGAGAAGAATGACTAAAATGATTTTCTGTGTAAGGAACCTTCCGTATGAAGATAGACTTAAAGCCTTAAATCTCCACTCTCTGGAGAGGCGTAGAATGAGGGGAGATATCATTGAAGTGTATAAGTGGATGACGGGCATAAACAAGGGAGACATTAATAAAGTACTGAGGGTGTCGAACCAGGTAAGAACCAGGAATAATGGATTTAAGTTGGATAAATTTAGATTTAGAAAGGACATAGGTAAGTACTTGTTTTCTAACAGAGTTGTAGATGCGTGGAACAGTCTTCCCAGTGGGGTGATAGAGGCTAGGACCTTGGGTAGCTTTAAGAAGAGACTGGACAAATATATGAGTGGGAGGGGCTGGGTTTGATTTGTGTCAAGGGGTACGGGAGTTATTTCTTGAGTAGCTTTAGGTAGATGTCGTTTTGATAAGGACCTGCCTCGTATGGGCCAGTAGGCCTTCTGCAGTGTTCCTACATTCTTATGTTCTTATAATAATATACACTTGGAAGGTGGTGGAGGGATTGGTACCAAACCTGCACACGAAAATCACTCCCTATGCAAGCAAAAGACTCGGCAGGAGATGTAACATTTCCCCGATGAAAAACAGGGGCGCCACGAGTACACTGAGAGACAACACAATAACTGTCCGGGGCCCAAGACTATTCAACTGCCTCCCAGCATACATAAGGGGGATTACCAATAGACCCCTGGATGTCTTCAAGAAGGCACTGGACAGGCACCTAAAGTCAGTACCTGACCAACCGGGCTGTGGCTCATACGTCAGTTTGCGTGCGGCCAGCAGTAACAGCCTGGTTGATCAGACCCTGATCCACCATGAGGCTTGGTCTCAGACCGAGCCGCGGGGGCGTTAACCCCCGAAACCCTCTCCAGGTAAACTCCAGGTAAACATCACTCTTCAGATTATTCCACCTCATGACAATTTTATGGCTGAAGAAAATATGTGTGTGTGTGGAAGTGACTGTGTTATTATTATTATTATTATATTATTATCAAATCACCTGCAGGAGATTTACAGGGCATTACCTGAATTATTACCTGTAAGTAATTTGGGTGAGGTAAGTGAGACTTAGTCACAGTAGGTTACTGAACTGTAGCTCCTTTGACTGTCCACTTCACCACTCTCATAAAAAGCTAGACCTGACATTAAATTAATAATTATAATATTAAAACTACGTGATTCATTCTCACTCTGTTTTTCTTCTTTGGAACGTTCGTTCCATACTGGGGAAGCTCCCGGACCTTCAGAAGTATCTGGCTGAGGTACAGCCACTGGTGGTGGGCCTCTCTGAGACATGGTTACGTCCTCGACATTCTCTTCGGGTGTCTGGTTTTACTGTTTACCATAGGGATCGCCTTGAAGGGGGCGGTGGTGGCCTAGCTCTTCTTGTGTGCAACCGGCTTCAGAGTACGACCCTCTCCCTCCAAGCCAATGAGAGTGGGGTGTTGGAAGCTCTGGCTGTGAGAGATGCCTTGGGCACTCAGTGGTGTATCATCCTCCTGATTTGCAATCCAGGCACATCGGTAACACAGAGTGAGTTTATCCATTACTTTGGGCAACTCCGTGGTTTGGCGCTTGTGATAGGGGATTTTAATGCTAGGCACCATTTTTGGGAGCCATCCATTTCTTTGGGATCGGTGAATCCCAAATCCAACTTTCGTTGCTCACACCACCAGGTTTGGAGGGAGACTAGAGTGGGCGAGCTTCTACCCTGGACCTCGTTCTTGGGTGCGGGTGTTTCACTACGGCCATTGTTACTGTAGGTCCCTTCATGTGGAGTGATCATCTCCCAGTCCTTGCATCTACCAATGGAGCCTTACCAGTGCCAGTGACGGCAGTTCGTTCACGATGGAAAACCATCCAGGCTGGTTGGACAAACTATAGTCATGGCCTCTCTGATTATAGCCTGCCTCAGGACTCCTTGCTGGACGATGCTGTCGCATCCCTTCAAGGGGCCATGCTTGAGGCAGGCTCACGTTCATTCTGTCTCTCTGGGAGCTTCTCCCATTCACACCCCCGGGTTCCATGGTGGAATGATGAGTGCCTCCGAGCAGTAAAGGCGCATCGGACGGCGTGGGCACGGTGGCAGCGCCAACCTTCCCGGACTCTGCAGCTGGCTTACTGAAGGGCTGATGCTCTTTGTCGGAGAATCCTCCTCCAAGTGAAACGTGCATCTTGGGCTTTATTCTGTTCTTCTCTTTCTTTTCGCACCTCTGCTAGTCAGGCATGGGGTTTCTTCCACTCTATGTAGGGATCACGATCTGTAAGTTCTTTTTCCCTGTTGGGGAAAGGTGCAGCCCCACTCTTACCCTGGGACAAGGCTCAGTTATTTGCAAGTTTCTTCGGTCCTATGTTTGCTCTTCCTCCTCCTCTACCCTCTAAGGTGATCAAATGGGGTCCTCTGCCCCCTACCATACCCGAGGTTGACTGCCAGGTGCTGGCATCTCCCTTTGGCTCCCATGAACTGCAACAGACACTCTCCCAGCTTTCTTCCCGTTCTTCTCCAGGGGAGGATAACATACCTTATTCATTCTTACTGCATCTACCCCCCCTCTTGTACAGATGCTATGCTGGAGGTTTTCAATGCCAGCTGGTCTGCAGGAGCTTTCCCTGATGTGTGGAAGCACTCTCTCCTGGTTCCGATTCTAAAGCCAGGCAAAGATGATACCCAACCGGGCTCTTACCGGCCCATTGCCTTACTGCCCTGCTTGGGTAAGATGTTGGAAAGACTGGTAGCTGCCCGTCTCTCATGGTGGGCTGAGGAACATGGCCTCCTGCCTGAAAACCAGAGTGGCTTCCGTGAAGGTCGATCCACCCTCTACCCTTTGCTTCAATTTGCACAGCTCATGCACACTTCGTTTGAAAACCGGGAGTTCCTTCTGGCTGCCTTTTTGGATTTACGTGGGGCGTTTGATTCTGTGTCTCACACGGCGATTCCTTTTAAGCTGGCCAACATGGGGCTGGCAGGAGTCCCCCTCCGTTGGACGCACAACTTTTTGCAAGGGAGGACTGTAGTGATACTGCTCCTGTGGGGAGCAGCAACAGGATAATACTGCACCACCTCTCGGGGCCCTTAACAACAACAACAGTTTGGTGTGTGTCATGGGCGCCAACACATGGTGTGTGAGTCTCTTCTTTTACATCAATATATTAGTGATGCAGATTACATGGTGAGTTTAAATATGTGGCCTGTAGTTATAACTTTTCTCTTGACATATGCAAGACATCACCATCCCTGTAGAAGCAGTTATTAGATGTACTAGTCATTATATTTTGTTGTTGCAGAAGTACTATGAAGATTCTATGTTCAATAAAGCCTAGAGATAAGGCCTGTGTTTCTATCACAACAAGGACCTTTCGTGTTGCGGTAGGTGGCGCAATGTCCTCACCCCGTCCTATATACCGGGGAGTGTTCCAGGGATCCGTTCTTAGCCCATTCCTTTTCTCTGTCTTATTGTTGGATCCCCCTTCCATGCAGGGAGTACGTACCCTGCTGTATGCGGATGATGTGGCCCTTATGTGCAGTGCCACGACCTTGCTGGCCACACAAGAAACACTCCAACGTGCCCTGCAATGCATAATATCATGGGCTGCCACCTGCCACCTAGACGCCATCTCACTACTCTTCCACCAGTTTCATTGGGTCCGACGCCAATCCCGTTGGTCTCCTGTCATCGATGGTTTGGTGTCACCTTGGATGCACCACTCTTGACATGGAAGAAACACATGACGGCCCTCCACCTTTTATGTGAATGCCGCACTGCACTTATGCACCGGGTCTCTGGCACCAAGTAGGGGCGGATTGAGACCTTCTCTTTAGGTTCTATACAGCTATGGTTCGCAGCAAGCTCACTTATGCGAGTGAGGTGTATGGCTCGGCCTCTTCCTCCTCTCTTCACCGCCTAGACATTCTCCAGAATTCGGCCATCCACAGTACGCTGGGGGCATTCCCCGCCACCCCCATAGCAGCCCTGGAGGCAGAGTCTAGGATAGTCCCTCTCTTGTCGGTGAGAATGGCGAGGGACTGTTTACGACTCCATCATATGGCCTCTCTGCCTTGTACTCGCCCCTGACGCCTCTCTCCACAGATGTGGGAGACAGCCTTTGTCCCCCCACGTTTGGTTCAGCCTTTCTTTGTGGCCAGGGCCCAGCATTCCCTGGCCCGCCTTACACTTCCTGCACCTGTGATGACTCCTTTCCCTCTCCACTCTCCGATATCCCACTGGATGGACCTGACACGGTACATCCACCTGGATTGGCATTACAGGAACAGGGAACCCCCTCAGTTAGCTGCATTTCTCTTTGAAGAGTTTCGTTCTGTCATGTATGGCTCTTCATTCTCCAGTTATACGGACGGCTCAGCACGGACCTCCCCCTCTACTACATCTTCTGCAGCCTTCTTCACTAATCTCTCCTTGTGTCAAACCTGGCGGTTAGACCCTGCTCACTCCGTCCTGGCAGGGGTGCTCTTCGCCATTCACCAGGCTCTGGTTTTTGTCCCGGCTCACCTTCCCCCTCAGTCTTTGGTTCTCTTCTCTGATTCCCAATCCTCCCTGGCACTTTTGTACTCTGCCCGTCCACGGTCACTATGCGTCCTCGTCCGTCAGATGCAATCTCTTCCTCTGTGTTTCTTGCAGAGCTCAGGTTGGAGCATCTCCCTTCATTGGGTACCTGCCCATGTTGGCATCCGGGGCAATGAAGTGGCGGATCAAGCAGCCTCCCTCGCTCACACACTTCCTACCATTATCCCTTTCGCACTGGGCCACAGTGATTTCACAAGGACTGTTTGGAAGGGAATCCGCCATTTGTGGCAGGAGGGCCTGGCACACTCCCTCTCTTCTTCGGCATTGAGCTCTGTCCGATCTTTTAATGGCCCCTACCCTTGGGCTCGCCTGACTCACCTTCGAGTCAGGCACTCGTGACTAGCGACTCATGTGTATCGTCTTCAGATGATGGACTCTCCGTACTGCCCATGCTGTCCCTCATAGCCTGAGTGGGGGAAACCCTTCTCGTGGTCCCCACGTTACCATTGTACAGATTATTTCCGTGCGGCCCCTTCCCCCTTTTGGGGTTTCCCCCGTATAAAAATTTTTGGGGGGCCCCAGTCCCTGGCCCCATTCAATCGTAATCTGAAAATCCCTTTGTAACTTTCATGATTGGACCGGCCCAGGGTTTCATTCCCTTTTTAAAAATTGTGAGTTCATTACCTTCGTTAATTTTGAGTTCATTACCCTGTAAATTTTCTAGCATCAAAAATTTTGGGGTCCAGTCCCTGGGCCAATTATGTCATCGTAATCTTTTGATCTGCCCCCAGGGGGAGGGGTGCATAATAAAATATTTAAACAAAATAACTCGCCTCTCCTTCTAGTGGGGAGGGTTTCGTCCTTGACCCTCAGGAGTCTTGGCCGTCCTGCCCCTTCCCGGGTTTGGGGGCATCAGGACATATAAAACCAGTTATTCGTCAAAAAACCCTTTCCTTTTGGGCGAGGTTCTTTTCCCCCCTGGAGGCCGGGGGATACGGCGAGCTGTCAGTGGCCCCATAACCCTAAAAAACAACAACTTTCAGGCCGGCGTTGGAGTTAATGTGTTTTTCTAGGGGGTAAGAGACTGGGTTCTGCAAGTATTTAAACCGGGGGCACCTATTAAAGGGTTAAAAAAAATTTAATGTTTCCGTTCCTTTCCAGAGAAAACGTTCCCCCTTTTTTAAATTTCCCGTCAGATTTTGGAAAATCTTTTATTCAAATCGAGGAGGGAAAAGGGTTTAAAAAACGCAATTTTTTGGTAACCCCGAATAACCCCACAAAAAGAGATGAGAGTGTTGCCATGAATCTCCCAGGTGAGCAATATGATGGAGACAACCCTGGGGTGGAGGTGGAGGAGGTGGCAAATGCTCTTTTCCCCAAAGGAAAATTGGGAAATACAGCCTTTAACGGGGATGAGGTGGGGGATCCTTTTAACTTTAGAAAAGAATTTTTGGGGGGGTTGTGGTGTTTTTAAAAAATTTTACCGAATCTAGTGCCCCAAAACCAAACAACAGGAATAAATAACAAAAAGGCACAATACCGTGACTGGAACAATACACAAATAACCCGCACATAGAAGAGAGGAGCTTGCGACGACGTTTCGGTCTGACTTGAACAATTTACAGTCACACTAAATGGTCCAAGTCGGACCGAAACGTCGTCGTAAGCTCCTCTCTTCTATGTGCGGGTTGTTTCTGTAAACAACAGCAAACTATATTCCGTAAAAGAAATAATAATAATAATAGTCTTTATTTCTACAAGTACATATACAAGGTATACAGTCCTAGCTGACATCAGTGACATACTACTGTATAGAAAGCCGCTTGTTATGCAGAGCATTTCGAGCAAATTAGGTCAATTTTGTCCCAGGATGCGACCCACACCAGTCGACTAATACCCAGGTACCCATTTTACTGATTAAGTAAGTTTATTCAGGTACAAACAAATACAGTTACATAGATTATCATACATAGCTGCATATGTGTAGAGAACCTAGGATAACCCCAAAAAAGTCAAAGTGACTTATTTACATTGGGGTTCTGATGGGTGAACATTGGACAGCAATTATCTTAAGGAAACATGTCGTAATGTTTCCAACCATACCGGGGATTGACCCCCGGACCTCAGTGTGAGAGCTATCGATTGCCTAAGATATTCGGATTAGTAACCCAACAGTTACATTCATCAGACTGACTTATTTTCATTAGGGTCTATTATCTCCCCCAGGGTGTGACCTCAAAATTATTAATAGACTCCAGATAATAAGATATTACAAGGCCCCTCATTGAAAATAAGATCTTTTGTTTGACCTTTTTTTTTGGGGGGGGGGGGATTATCCTGGGTAATTTACATATATTTTTATTATGTATAATAATTGTACTTGTGTGTACCTCTGCCTAGGTAAACTTAACTACTTACTAATTGGAGAAAAAGTGAACAGGGGCAGCAGGTGTTAGGAAACATCCCGAGTGTTTCCACTCTTCTGGGGATTGAATTTGAGTTCCTCAGTTTTGATCAAAAGCCACTACCACTTGAGCCATGAGCATATATACAATGGCTGCAATAAACATGTATATATACATAATTTTTCTAAGCATACATTGTTGGTAAGTAATAAGTGAATATGTATGTTATTCTTAAGTCAGAACTCCAGCAATATTACACCCTATCCACAACATGTGCATATCCATAACATGGGAAACACTTCCTCCTGTAGAAAAAAATATCACATTGAACCAGCAACCCAATGTTGCATGCTTCCAGTGTTGGGTGACTGGGTCACTGGTTGTAGCCTCACCATGGTAACACCATCACCTCCACTACACTATCTTTCACCACTTCTTCAATACACTATCATATGCTTTTGCTGTCAACAGTAATGTATCACTTATTAATATAGGTTAGGTTAGGTTGCATTGGATTACATTAGATTTTTGTTTTACATTTGCATAAATAAAAACTACGGTATCTCAAATCAGTATCTCTGTATCACATTCATATCAATTTCAGGCAGCTTAACTCAATAAATAATTCTGAAGTTGATCCAGGAATAAAGGACATATTTACCACATAAGAAAATAAGAAAGAAGGAACACTGCAACAGGCCTACTGGCCCATGCGAGGCAGGTCCAAGTCTCCTACCGGTTTAAGTCAATGACCCAACCTAGTCAGGTCAGGTCACATCCACTTAAGGAAGGACCATGGCATCAGACCTATTAGCACAAGCTAGTTAGGTCCAACTCACACCCACCCACACACACTCATGTATTTATCTAACCTATTTTTACAACTATGCAATGTTTTAGCTTCTATGATGGCACTGAGGAATTTGTTCTACTCATCTACAACTCTCTTACCAAACCAGTACTATCCTATATCCTTCCTGAATCTGAATTTTTCCGACTTATTTTTAGCATGCTATTTACATTCCCTTTATTTATTCCTGTTTTCAATTTATACACCTCAGTCACATCCCCCCCTAATTCTACGCCTTTCTAGAGAGTGCAGATTCAGGGCCCTCAGTCTATCCTTGTAGGGAGGATTTCTGATACAAGGGATCAACTTTGTCATCTTCCTTTGTATGTTTCCCAGTGCTTTTATATCCATTCTGTAATATGGTAACCAAAACTGTGCAGCATAATCTAAACAAGGTCTAACCAAAGATATACAGAGTTGAAGAACAACCTGAGGACTCGCATTATTTATGCTTCTTGATATAAAGCCAAGGATTCTTTTCGCTTTATTGTGAACACTTATGCGCAGTTGTTTTGGTTTTAGATTACTGCTAACCAGAACTCCCAAATCCTTTTTGCAATCGGTAATATTAAGATCTACATTATTTAGCTTATATGTGGCATGATTATTTTCCTGTCCAGTGTTCAGAACTTTGCATTTGTCTATATTAAACTATAACTGCTACTTCTCCAACCACTGCAACAGTCTATTCAAATCTTCCTGGAGTGCTCTAATGCCCTTGTCAGAATGAATTTGACAGCCTATTTTGGTGTCATTGTCAAACTTGTTTATGTCACCATTTATCCCCTCATCTATGTCATTTATGTAGATTGTGAACAAGGGGCCCAACACTGACCCCTGTGGAACACTGCTCGTGACACTTCCCCACTCTGATTTCTTCCCATTTATGCAGACTCTCTGCTGCCTATCTGTCAACCACACCTCTATCCTGGAAAAAAATTCTCTTATTCCTTGTGTCTTAATTTTCCTCAATAGTCTCTGATATGGGACTCTATCAAAAGCATTACTGAAGTCCATATACACAATATCATATTCATTACCATGATCTACCTCTTAAAAATGCCTTTACCTTTACTCTTGAAGAGTTTCGAGAGTTTGTCTACTCTCTGAGCCTGGCCATGGGCCAGGCTCGTCTGGTGCTTACCTGGTCAACCAGGCTGTTGCTGCTGTTGGCCTGCTGCCCCACATATCCATCACAGCCTGGTTGATCTGGCACCTGGTGAAGATACTTGTCCAGTTTTCTCTTGAAGGTTTCTACACTTGTTCCAGCCATGTTTCTGATATCTTCTGGTAAGATGTTGAATAGTCTGGGATCCTGGATGTTGATACAGTGTTCCCTTATTGTCCCCACCGCACCCCTGCGCCTCACTGGGTTTATTTTGCACTTCCTCCTATATCTCTCACTCCAGTATGTTGTTATGGCAGTCTGCAGATTTGGGACTAGGCCCTCGAGTACTTTCCAGGTATATATTATCATGTATCTGTCCTCCGCTCCAATGAGTACATGTTCAAGACTTGAAGGCATTCCCAGTAGTTTAGGTATTTGTTCCAACTCCGATATTTCTCCTGCTTTGATCGGGGCCGTCAGCACTGAGCAGTATTCTAAGTGAGGGAGCGCTAGTGATTTGAGGAGTGTCACCATCGGCATTATTTCCCTTGTTTTGAAAGTTCTCAATACCCACCTCGTCATCTTCCTGGCTGTCGTGATCTTTGTCTTATTGTGATCTTTAAAAGCAAGGTCAGCTGACATAATTATTCCCAGGTCTTTTACGTGTTCCTTACGCACTATTTGGTGACCCTCTTGAGTTTTGTATATAGTGTTCCTTTTAAGTTCTTCATTCTTTCCATACCTAAGCAGCTGGAACTTAGCACCATTGAACGTCATGTTCTTCTCCACTGCCCACTGGAAAACCCTGCTTATATCTTCCTGTACTTTTTCCGTGTCCTCTACCATAGTGACTTTCATGCTTATTTTAGTGTCATATGCAAATGATGATACGAAAGTGTGCCGGGTGTTTTTATCTACGTCTGCTATGAGGATGAGAGACAGCAGAGGTGCCAGGACAGTGACTTGGGGCACTGAGCTTTTGACCTCACTACTACTTTTTGTTTTCTGTGTGTTAGGAACCCGAAAATCCATCTGCCTACCTTCCCCGTAATGCCCATCTGCCTCATTTTGTGTGCTATCACTCCGTGATCTGCAAAATCTGTGTAAATCACATCTGCGTTTTGGTCATCTTCCAGTGCCTCCGTAATTCTGTTATAATGGTTCAGCAGCTGTGATAGTCACGATCGTCCTGCTCTAAAACCATGCTGGTTCAGGTTAATAAATTCGTAAGACAGGAACACTATTTCGTAAAACCATGCTGAGATTCATTAATCAATTTATTCCTTCCAAGATGGCTACGAATTGTCTCAGCAGTTATTGATTCCATAAATTTTCTCACTATGGAGGTTAGGCTTATTGGTCTATACCCCCTCAAGGGAGGTTCCTTGATGCTGGTGAGGGGCTCTTGCTGTAGGGAATTGGATCTGTGCTTCAGTTACCTAAATTGAGTCTGAATACCTTCCATATCCCCCCCAGGTGCTGTATAATCCTTACAGGTTTAGTGCTCCTCCATGATTTTAATAATTATTGGTCTATAGTTTGAAGCTAAGGACCTGTCACCTGCTTTGAAAATAGGTATCACATTTGCCATTTTCCACTTATCTGGCACTATACCAGTTTGTAGTGATATTTGAAAAGATTAGCCAAAGATTTGCTAAGCTCATCTTTACACTCTTATAGAACCCTTGCATTCAGTTCATAGGGGCCGGGGAATTTATTCGGTTTTAATTTATCTGTTTGTCTAAGGACTGTGTCACTTGTGACCCTAATCGTGCATAGTTTATTATCATTGTGTTCTACATAATTTATTATTTCTGGAATATTGCTAATATCTTCCTGTGTAAAAACTGAGAGGAAGTAAGTGTTAAAAATCCTACACATTTCCTTATCACTGACAGTGAGCTGACCCAAGTAACCTTTGAGTGGGCCTATCTTGTCCCTAATCTTACTTCTGTATACCTGAAAGAATCCTTTTGGGTTAGCCTTCTATTTCCTTGCTAATTTAACCTCATATGCTTTTCTTATTCCCTTTTCTCTCTCTCTTTAACTGAATATATATTGATTTCTTAACTGCCCCTCTCCTTTTTTGATTTGCCTATATATGCTTCCCTCTTGACCAGTGAGATGTTTTAATCTATTATTTATCCATTTAAGATCATTTTTGCTTGATCTGATTTCTCTATTCAGAACATAAGTTGTCTGAGCAGCTTGAGCAATGCTCTGGAAAACATCATATTGGCAACCATCACCACCTACCTAACCCATAGTCAGATTATTCCAGTTCAGCCCACCCAGGTAATTTCTGTCCTATGAAATCAGGGAAGCGGAAGTCAGGGACAGAGACTTGATTTCCATTATTAGGGTAATTCCATGATATATTAAAACTGAGTGATTTGTGATCACTTTTCCCAGGCTCATCATTAACCTCAAGATTATTAATTAGTGATTTCCTGTTGGCAAGAACCAAGCAAGCAGATTATTTCCTCTAGTTGGTTCTGTCACAAACTGTTTTAAAAAACAATCCTGAATCGTATCAAGAAAGTTGCTTGATAAAATTTCCTGTCAAATTGTCCAGTCAATTTATCTAAAGTTAAAATCTCCTATTAGCACAACATTTTCATATGTAGATGCCTTACAAATTTTGTCCCATAGAAGTTTACTGCACTCCCTGTCAAGGTTTGGGGGCCTGTAAATCACACCCAAGATTAGTTTTTCATGGCCCTGGAGAAGCTGTATCCACACAGATTCAGTGGCTGATGCTTCTAATTTTATATCTTGTCTAACACAACAAGTTAAATTATCTCTGACATACATCACTGCTCCACTACCCTTCCTGTTGACCCTATCAGTGTGGAATAATTTATATCCTTGTATGTGGTATTCAGAAGGCATTTCTCTATCTTTCAGATTGATCCAGGTCTCTGTCACAGCAATAATATCAATGCTTCCTGAACTTTCAATTAATTTTAGCTCATCTATCTTATTTCTTACACTCCTACTATTAGTATAGTAAACCTTAAGGGATCTAGTCTCTCACTGCCCTCTACTATCTTCCCTTGTTTGCTGATCAGTTCTTTTGTCTTTATTTGTAACTTTATGATGAATAATGTCTTTTAAACATTTACTGTTTTCAACCCTAGTGCTGCAACCTGTTTCCAACACATTCATACCTCTATCTTCTATCAGTTTAAAGTCCTAGACAAGTCAGCAATGGCCCTCTTGACTGAGTTGGCAAATGCTGCCACCCCTTCCCCAGAGAGATGTGCCCCATCCTTTGCATACATATCATGTTTGCCATAAAAGTTGTCCCAGTTGTCAATGAATGGGATTGCAAGGTCCTTGCAATATTTGTCTAGCCAGCAATTTACACCAATTGCCCTAGACATCCATTCATTGCCCACTCCCCTTCTTAGACTTAATTAAATCTATAGCTGACCTGTACTTTTCTAGCAGCTCTTCTCTCCTACCCTTCTCAATATCATTTCCACCAGCACTGAGATAGATAATGGGCTTATTCCCATTACCTGGCATGATATTATCCAACCTGTTGATTGTGTCACCAACACCAGCTTCAGGGATACACACACACTGTCTCACCTTCTTATCCCTATTCCAGAAAGCAGGGAAACCTTAAAAAGTAATTTTGACTTATTCCATTGAGATTATTCTTTTAGCTGTTTAGAGGAATCAAATTTTCAAATCACTGACATCAGGTGGCAGGTTCAGGAACTTGTTAAAATATAACCAAAAGTTATATTTATATATGGATGAGTTCTCCCCTCATAGAATCCTTGATGCCATTGAAGGGCTTTATTTCTCGGAGTTGGACCTACTGTCTTCTTCCTTGTATTAAACCTGAATGCTTCCTATTTCCTCAGACACTGTTTGGCACTTCTGGGTTTAGTACTCCCCAATGACTAATAATAATAGAGCGAAAGTCTTCTTCAGTAGGGAAATATCGGAGACTTCTGACCAATCGGTAGTTTAGTATCAGTGAGATCACAGGCATTCTTTAGGCTATGTATGTACAGTTTCTTTGGAGATTTCTTCTCAGTCCAGTGACTGCACCAGGTGTACTATGTTGTCACTCTTGATAGGTTGGTTCTGTAATGTGCCTCAAGCCTCAGGCTTGAGGGACTGGCCTCCTCTTACCAGGGCTAATGGACTGATGACACGTGCTGTCTCCAGTGTTTTATTCACCTGCTTTTGACTTAAGAGGCCTGTTCTGTGGGCAAAACATTTTGACACTAAAGATAACTAAGTGTTGCACATGTATTTTTAACTTGTCAGGATTGTATACCATCAATAATGTGGGTTTAGCTCTTGTCTGTGAATAATAATACACTATAATGTTGGAGTGTGAGCAGGGTAATATATTGTGAAAGGATTCAGGGAAACCGGTTAGCCAGACTTGAGTCCTGGAGGTGGGAAATACAGTGCCTGCACTTTAAAAGAGGGGTTTGAGATATTGACTGTTTGGAGTGACATCTAAACTGTCATATCTGGGCTCCTCTGCTAAGACAGTGATTATGTGTGAATGATAGTGAAAGTGTTTCTTTTTTGGGTTACCCTGCCTTGGTGGGAGACAGCCAGCGAGTTGAAAAAAAGAAAAATAGTAATTAAATGTCATTCTGACAATCTACCAAGCATTTGACAAATTCACAGCAGGTAACATTAGCTGATACAGTATATGTAACCAATTGATTACTATTGTTGAGGCTGAATCTGATGTTTGGTATTTTTTCAGATTCCTGGAAAGACAGTGAGGAGTTCTCCAATTACATCATACAGCTAGCATCATGTGGTGTAGAAAAACTAGGTAATGACAAACATTTATATCCATCCATGCTCCTCTATCCATCCCTCACTCACACAGTCCTAAATGTGAAAAGAGAGCAAAGGAAAGAGCAGAGGAGGTTCTGTTAGATTTTGCTGAAAATAAGAAAAAGTTTTGGAGTGATATTAATAGGCTGAGAAAGCCTAGGGAACAAGTGAATTTGACCGTTAAAAACAGAAGGGTAAATTTATTAGATGGGGAGTTGGCAATATTGGGAAACTGGCAGGAATATTTTGAGGAGGTGTTAAATGTTGATGAGGAAAGAAAGGCAGTGATTTGATGCTTTAGCCAGAGGGGTATAACATCTTTTAGGAGTGAGGAAGAGCCAGATGTGAGTGTGGGGTAGGTACGTGAGGCAGTGGGTAAAAAAAAAGGGAATAAAGCAGTTGGGATTGATGGAATCGAGAAAGAAATGTTAAAAACAGAAGGGGATATAGTTTTGGAGTGGTGGTTGGTACTTTTATTCAGTAAATGTATGAAAGAGGGGAAGGTACCTAGGAATTGGCAGAGAGCATGCATAATTCCTTTGTATGAAAGAAAGGGTTACAAAAGGGAGTATAAAAATTATAAAGGAATAGACCTGTTGAATTTCCCAAGTAAAGTGTATGGTAGAGTTATTACTGAAAGAATTAGGGGTAAGACAGAGAGCAGGTTCACTAATGAACATGGAGGCTTTAAGATGGGTAGGGGATGTGATTACCAAGTGTTTACATTGAAGTGAATAATATTTAGATAAATGTAGGAAAGTTTTTATTGCATTCATGGATTTAAAAAAAAGTATGTATATAGTACGATGGATAGGGGAGCAATGTGGCAGATGGTGCAAGTGTTTGGAATAAGTGGTAAGTTACTGAAAACAATTAAGAGTTTTTAAGAGGATAGTGAGGCTCATGTTAGGGTATGTATGAAAGAAGATGTTTTTCCAGTAAAAGTAGACCTTAGAGATGCATGATGGCACTATGGTTGTTTAACATGTTTATAAATGGGGTTGTAAAAAGTGAATTCTGGGGTATTGGGGAAAGGTGTGGGATTAAAATATGCAGAATCTAATTCAGAGTAGGAGTTCCAGCTGCTTTTTGTTGATGACATTGCTTTTGGGAGATTCTGAAGAGAAGTTGCAAAAGTTGGTGGACAAATGAGCATAGGAAAGAGATTTAGGTTAAGGAAGATTGGATATCAGATTGGAGGGAGGGAGTATGGAGGAAGTGAATGTGTTCAGATATTTGGGAGTGGACTTGTCAGCAGATGGGTCTATGAAAGATGAGGCAAACCATAGAATTGGTGAGGGGGGAAAAAGGTGGGTAGTGCCCTGAGGCATCTGTTGAGGCAGAAAGGGAAGTGTATGAGTTTAGTGGTGCCAACACTTATATGGGTGTGAAGCATGGGCAGTGGTGCCAACACTTATATGGGTGTGAAGCATGGGCAGTGAATGTTGCAGTAAGGAGGAAGCTGGAGGCAGTGGAAATGTGTCGCCTAAAGGCAATGTGTTGTGTAAATATTATGCAGAGAATTCATAGCTTGGAGATTAGGGAAAGGTGCGGGGTTACTAAAAGTATTATCCAGAGGACTGAGGAGAGATTGTTGAGGTGGTTTGGACATTTAGAGAGGATGGAACAAAATAAGATGACTTGGAGAGTGTATAAATCTGTAATGGAGGAAAGTTGGGGTAGGGGTCATCCTAGGAAAAGCTGTAGGGGCTTGGACATCGAGCAAGAATGTATGAGCATGTTAGGTAGTGGTGAGTGGAGGCAAATGGTTTTTGGGACTTGATGAGCATGGTAACATTTCGTGAAGGGATTCAGGAAAACAGGTTAGCCAGACTTAGTGTTGAAGGTGGGAAGTGCAGCGCCTGCACTCTGAAGGTGTGGGAATATTTATAGTTTGGAGGGGCATCTGAACTGTAGCATCTGCTCACCTTTGGCAAGACAGTGATAGAGTGAATGATGGTGAAAGTGTTTCTTCCTTTTTGGGTCACCCCTACCTCAGTGGGAAACACCCTACCTCAGTAGATGTCACCCTGTCTCAGTGGGAGACGTCACTCTACCTCAGTGGGAGACATACCCTACCTTGGTGGAAGACATCACCCTGCCTTGGTGGGAGACATCACCCTGCCTTGGTGGGAGACATCACCCTACCTCGGTGGGAGACGTCACCCTACCTGAGTGGGAGATGTCACCCTACCTCGGTGGGAGACATCACCCTCCCTCAGTGGGAGATGTCACCCTTCCTTGGTGGGAGATGTTGCCCTACCTTGGTGGGAAATGACACCCTACCTCGATGGGAGACGGATAGTGTGTTTAAAAATATATATAGTATTTTTATTGATTATATGTTTTTTAAAATTGTGCTTTTACAACTTTTGCTTTAAATTAGAGATGTTACAATTGTAGTGCTTAACACTCCCATTGCTTCTCAGAGAATGTCATCAATACAAACATGAAAATATAAAAGAAAAAAGTAATGTGAGTCATTCCTGCATTATTTATCCATTTAAGCATTATTGCAAATGAGCAGTTGATTTTTATTTGTTTTAATAAATAATGTACATTAGATAATAAAGGAATAATAAGGTTATTATATCTAGCAAAGGAAGGTGCTCATCTGCGGGAGGAGAGATCAGCCATTTTAGATCAAACCAGAGATTTGGCATACACAAACTACAAGACCTTTATCCATACTGCAGACTGCTCCAGAGCAATTTATAAGGATGTAAGTAGAACAATTTGAACATACTCATTAGGACAGTATTTTCATAGCTTTCTGATAATGCTGAAGCACTACCATATGTTCATGGTTGTCCATAAGAACCAGTTGGCAAACATAAATAGTATTTATAAAAAATGTACAGTATATGTAATTTGTTGAGTGACATCATAAATATAAGGAGTGTAGTTAAAGATATGGAAGCTTCCCACATTTAGCCAATATTGACAATTTACTTTTTTATTAATATGTAACAAAAACCTTGAACCCTCCAGTCATAAGTGTGTCTTAATGTATATATATAGTGCTTTAAATATACAGTATTTCAATTAGTGTAGTATGTACAGTAAGTAGTAGGTTAGTAGACATCAACCACCTAGGAAGGTACTACCCTCCTGTTCCATGGCCTGGTAGGCAATGCTCTTACTTCACACACACAGTGTCCAAGGTTCGATCCCCAACAAGAGTGGAAACATTGGGCAGGTTTCCTTATACCTGTTCTGTTTACTTAGCAAGCATGTAGGTACCAGGGTGTTAGTCACTGGTGTGGGTCGCATCTTGGGGGACAAGATTTAAGTACCCCAACAGAAATAAGACAGGACAGACCCGAGTCCCTCGATGATGTACTGACTTTCTTGGACTGTCCTGGGTGGCAAACCCTCTGGGATGAAAAATCCGAACAAAATCTTATCTCTTGTTGTACAGGGGACCCCCGGTTATCGGCCATAATATGTTCCAGAAGGTCGGCCGATAACCGAAATGGCCAATAACCGAAATGGCCGATAACCGAATTAATATTTCCCATAAGAATTAATGGAAATACAATTAATCCGTTCCAAACAAAAATATTCACAAAAAAAAAAATTTTATTTAACAATTATGTAAGTATTACATACCTTTATTGAAGGCTAATGCTGGCTTCTGGAAGATAGGGAGGAGGAAAGAGGGAGGAGTTAGTGTTTGGAAGGAGAATCCCCCGCCATAAAGGCTTTTGGTAGCAAAGCCTTCTCTGGGATTACTTCCCTTCTTTGTCTTTTATTGCCATTAGGACCAGCTTGAGAGTCACTGGACCCATGTCTCACAAAATAACTGTCCAGAGTGCTCTGTTTTTGGCATCTCTTCAAGATTTCCCTGAAGTGGGACAGGGTTTTGTCACTAAACATGTTGCAGATATGACTTGTTTCAGCTTTGTCAGGGTGGTGTTTCTCTACAAAAGCTTGCACCCTAGTCCACATTGCACACACCTCTTTAATCTCTGAAGAAGGCACCTCCTTCACTCCCTCTTCCTCCTCCTCTGAAGCAAGTTCCTCAGCTGTTGTCTGTTGCTGTTCGAGATGAAGCTCTTGCAGCTCTTCATTGGTTAGCTCTTCCCTGTGGTCCTCCACCAACTCTTCTACATCCTCGCCACTCACCTCCAACCCCAGGGACTTCCCCAGTGCCACAATAGAGTCCACGGGGTCGGCAGGGTCAGGGTCAGCCTCAAACCCTTCAAAATCCCTCTCATGGGCACAATCTGGACACAGTTTTCTCCAAGCAGAGTTCAAAGTCCTGGAAGTCACTCTCTCCCAAGCCTTACCTATAAAGCTTATGCAATGGAGGATAGTGAAGTGATTCCTCCAGAATTCTCTTAGGGTCAACTGAGTGTCCGAGGTCACTTCAAAGCACTTTCGAAACACTGCTTTTGTGTAGAGTTTTTTGAATTTAGAAATGATCTGCTGGTCCATGGGCTGGAGGAGAGAAGTGGTGTTAGGAGGCAAGAACTTCACTGTGATGAAACTGAAGTCCCTAAACACTTGGTCTTGCAAGTCTGGAGGATGTGCAGGAGCATTGTCCAGTAAGAGGAGGCACTTGAGTGGTAATTTTTTTTCCAGGAGGTATTTTTTCACACTTGGGCCAAACACATCATTAACCCACTCTTTGAAAATTTGCCTTGTGACCCATGCCTTATGATTAGCTTTCCACATCACACAATCTATTCTTCATGACATTGTTTTTCTTGAATACTCTGGGATTTTCTGAGTGATACATGAGTAAAAGCTTCACTTTGAAATCCCCACTAGCATTACCACACAACAAAAGAGTAAGCCTGTCTTTCATAGGCTTGTGTCCTGGCAGTGCCTTTTCCTCCTGGGTAATGTAGGTCCTATTTGGCATTTTCTTCCAAAACAGGCCTGTTTCATCACAATTGAACACATGTTGGGGTTTGAATCCTTCAGCCTTTACATAGTCCTGGAATTCACGAACATACTTTTCAGCTGCCTTGCAGCACTGTGTATGCCCTAAATTCGCAAACTGCAGAACTTGTTCCAGGCATTTTTTTTGCAAGATCCTCATGCAACTGCTTTGCCTTCTCACAAATGATCGACTCCACAACACTGTCTCCCACTAATTATTTTTCCTTAATCCACAATAATAATAACTTTTCCATCTCTTACATTATTGGTGCCTTTGTTTAGTTAGAAAAGTTACTCCTTTTGCAACATTAGCATCGTTGATTTGTTCTTTCTTTGTCAGGATGGATGTAATTGTTGATTTATCCTTGCTGTACATCCTGGCAAGTTTGACCACCTTCATACCACTCTCAAACTTTTCTATCACTTCACGCTTAAATTCCATGGTGTTTCTTACTTTCTTTACCACAGAAACTTTCTTTGGAGCCATCTTTACTTATTTCACAGTTGCACTGCAAGAAAAACCACTAAAAACAATGATAAACAAGCGAAATGTTTGGATGTATGAGCAGAAGCTTCCTCAGCCACCGAGAGACAAAGCCAAACTGAAGCGCAAGCTGCCCCAGCCAATGGATGGATGCATCCAAAATGGCTGATAACCGAGCGAACGGCCGATAACCAGGCGCCAAAAAACCCGCCGATAACCGAGGTGCCCAATAACCAAACCAGCTGATAACCGGGAGTCCAGTGTATATGAATCTAAACTAGAAGTAAAGAACAAAAAGGCACAATACCTTGAATGGAACAATACGCAAATAACCCGCACATAGGAGAGAGGAGCTTATGATGACGTTTTGGTCTGACTTGAACCATTTACAAAGTCACACTGACAGGAAGGAGAGGAGGAGGAGGAGGAGGAGCCAGTATATATAGGCAAGCTGGCAGGGCCGGAGCAAGAGAGGTAGGAGGGGTAGTGGTAGAGGTAAGGCTGGTAGTGGAAATAGTGGTAGTGTGAAGTAGGGAGAGAGGTAGGTGGGAAAAAAATAGAAAAAAGGGGAGGCAAAAGAAAAGGTAAGATCGAAAGGTAGTAGGGAAGGAAGTAATAGTGGTAGATGCCTTCCTTTCCCATTACATTGTCAAATGCTCCAAACTTCAGAACACATGTGACTTAACCTGATTCTTTTTCTCTTCTTTCTACCTTTTCTCCATTTTTTTTTTTACCTTTTTCTTGTTTTAAGTTTCCTTTCTTCTGCCTTGGGTATTTCCTTCACTTTTTCCACCCCCCTGTGGTTTTGGTCTTAACCCTTGTAAGCTTTTAGCTCTCCTGCAGTGCTCCTCTTTCATTGCCTTTGACTCCACTACTACTACTACTTACTTCCCTGCTGTCTAAACTTAAAGTCTTAAATGTCTTTTTTCTTGTTGAAGAATTGCTCCTCTTTTTGTTCTGTCTCCTAGACATGTAAGATTGCAGGTAAATTTTACAAATTTCTAAAATTGAACACCATAAGTTTCGATTGATCAGGGCTGGAGTCATTCTGAAGTTGTGATTCATCCAACCGTCCCATCCCTGAAAATCTAGAGAAAAATTTAAGAGAAAGCATTATTGCACTATACATATTATACACCGTAATGCTCTAGCTTAAGGAATAGGATGTTGTGCTCTACTGTATAAAAAGCATTTCTTACGTCAGTGATGCTGTATGACCCTGGTGAGTTTAGCGCTCAGTTTCAATTAATAATAATTAGGTCAGTGTTGAGGCCTATTGAATATTCATTGTTTTCTTGAGATGTGTAATGGGCATTTGTAATTTCTTTTGTGTGTTTGTGCCTAAAACCATACTGACAAGGGCTAAGAATGTTTCATTATGAACTCATACATTCACTTGTGTATTTTTTTTCTCTAGTATCTTAGTAGTGGCAAGTAATGATAACTATAAAATTTGTCATTATCACATTGTATCAGCTATACCCATGTTAGCACATACCTGGGTATTTTAACACTCTCTAGTAATTATGTGGTTTAGCAAACACTCTTAATATCAGCAGAAATTAATTGAAAAAAAGAGGAAATTTTTATTGATATTTGGCAATAAATATTCCCAAATTAACACTTGAGCTAACGTTACCATAATAATTGTGTGACTTATAAAGCACCGGCATTTAAGAATAGTGGCTATAAAATTACCATTACTCTTAAATTAGGGAAATATATAGAAGCAAAATCCACTAGGGAAGTGCCAATTGTAGTCTCTTTTAGCAAATATGGTTGACTGGAAAGCAGTTAGCTACTGCTGGTGAGTTTAAGAGCGAGATTTTTTGAGCAGCACTCACCTCCTGCTTTCTATTACTTAGATCATAAGCCTACCGGGGCTGTTAGTGGGCAATAGTTAGACTGTTCACCATATTGAGTACTGAGTACAGTATTAAAATTTCTTACTGCTAAATAATTTCAAAGTAATTTTTTTTAAGAATCAGATTCCATAGTTTTAATGTTTAATTCTTCATTTATTCAACATGACTTGTTTGTACTTCCATTTATATTTTTTTAATAATATTTATTCGTATAATATTTCTCTTGTAATTCAGAAAGCCTAGTTTATGACCTGGTAATGGAGGTAATGATTCCTGAAACCATCAGCAGATGACCAATAGATGTTAAATTTTTATGCATGTTTTCATATTACCTATAGATACATGATACAGAAGATTGCTAATTAGAGTGCAGTCAGGTTCAAGTGATTGTCTTTATGCTATTGTAATCTAAAAAAGATCATATTACATACTCAAAATGTATTAAAATTGGTCTCAGTAAAGCTTAAAAGTATCAATGTAGAC